GTTAATTAATTACACCATTCTCATTATTCCTCACTGTTGTCACTGAGTCATTTGTGGATGAGTCATATCCTAACCTGAGCGTACACGTACATGTATAGAATTCCCCAGACTGTAAGGCTAGTCACTCGCTTGCCACTCACATTTCAAAGATCGGTAATTCTGTCAGATACATGTACATAATGTAAATTCACGTTTTTGTGGGTAGTGGTTTTTTGAAAGGATAACTTTCACTCAGGCTAGCATGGCTTACATGTTATGTAAACTTGTATACATCAGATTTTTGGGGAAATGAGCACTCACACAAACCTGTACACACATTTGTTTGCTTTTGTGCAAAACCAGTAAGAACCGTACATTTACCTTTGGGTAAACTTTCTAGAAATTAGGGGTCCATTTTTCTTTCGTGCTCCTGTCTCATCTGACAGATAAAGCAAGTTCAGAACACATTTTCTAATTTCCAAGAGTAATGAATTAATGCAAATTACCTGCCAAACAAATAGTAATAGTTTGAAATCAATTCCAATGATATGTCCATGTCAAATAACAAAGGTCAGATGTACATGTAACAGGGACACGAAAATGTCACATTTTTGGACGCCGAATTTCTTGAATTACCCATGTACATGTACATTTATACAAGTACATGTGTATACTTTTTATGTATGGTGTGTGGGCGCATAAATGCTTACTACCGGGCAAAATTCAGCCAGCCTCGACCCATCTATCTCTCTGTGACCATCACGCCTCTTGGAAAACCTTTTTTACTTTTTCCAGTATTGGAAGTGTAGCTGTGTGTATCTCCATTAGACTTTTATTTTGACACTGTATTTTGTGTTAACTGTTTGTTTACGACCCTACTTGGTTAAAAGCTCGCTTTCTTTAACATTTAAAATCATCCATTCTTTCCTGGACACCTGAGGGCGCTGTTGCTGTTATGTCATCCAGGGAAGATATGGTTCAGTGCATACAATGGTATGTGCCGGTACATGTGGGTTTTACTGTTCATATTGTGAACCCCGGGATTTACTCACTGAAAACATGTCTTACATATTTGTGCATAGACACTGGTACAGTACATTGCTTATTGCTGCATTCTTGTAAGTATTATGGTACACCGAACTACATGATAAAGAGGAGGAAATCTGGTTCAAAAAAGGCAATAAGTTTTTGTGTGCACAAACCAATGTAATGTCGAGGTTTTCTTCCTGGAAGGACATCACAGTTTTAATATGGAAACATGTACCGGTGCTCCTTAAAAACCAACAAGGTACTGAACATGCACTAAAATATCCTTTGAAATGGTGGATCAAAAATTTGAAATGAGGTTACCAGTAAGTGAGACACAAAGGGGCATTTTGAGGCTTCGTTAAATTGAAATTCCATTGCATCTACCGGTATCCTCCAATAAGCATTTGCTGGCATATTCTTCTACGAGTACCGGTACACGTACATGTACTAGTGTGTGTCACCTACATGTAGATGTGAGAAAATTGGCCTGCATGCACGTGATTGTAGACGTTCGTGTATGACATGCTCACACCATACCGGTAATTAGGAAAGGCTCATTAACACAACCAGTATGCCAACTTTCTGACGAGCAGATGGCCCTCTCAGCTAGTGCCTTCGCAGAGGACAAAATTGCTCCCCCACACTCGAGTTGGCTCCTTGCCCAAGCATTCAATCACTCGAGTGGGGGTCGGGGACAGAAGGGGGGGCCTAGTCAGAGCAGGGAAAGGTGCCAACATGGCTTGTCTACGACAACTGCGCATGAACTACAAAGCGATCTCCGCCTCTGTCCCGTGAAGATTGATGATGCGAATGTAGCTGTCGGGTGGAGAAATGAGTTAAACTAAAGAAAAAAAAAATCCCGAGTGGTAATTACTCCCCAATGCATTGGCTGAACTGAAAAGCTTGCCGAAGGTACAAGCAGTTTAATATTTAAATTTGTTTTAACAAAGATGTGAAGTGTATTTGCATCTAGACCACTGTTGTAAGGATAAGACGGTATAAGAAAATGTTTAACGGTACATACATGTACATGTACATGTACGTGTACCATTACATGCTGTATGCACATGTGCAATGCAATATACAGTGTGTATGGTACATGTACATATGTAGCATTTATCTGATTGAAAAGGCCAGTAAATTTTGAGTCCGGTTTCTTGTTGATTAGGTTTCAGTCAGAGTGAAATTAGTTGTTGTAAACAGCTCCTGTGTTCACTATCTGTAGTATTTATCGTATTACTCGTATGTTGAATTTCAAGTTTGTACATTTTCCGTGGATCAATCTCTTTTGTAATGCTTTTTCAGTTTCTCATGGTCCCTTTTTCCCGCCCGATGCTCTTTATCGTCTGCCCCCTCATCGCAAATTGAATTTCCCAATCTCTGAACAATTTGCCATTGGAAGAGAAAGTGTCACAATGAGCACGTTTGCATAGCACTTGGCCAGGTTCGACGATGAAATCCTCTTTTTTTTAATTTTAAATGTCTCTTCCGATTCGATAAGCGCGAGCTAATGGAATGAATTCTCATTCCGGATTGCATTCACCGGCCAGCCCAGCAACTCAGTTTACGCTGCTGCTCCTTTCTAGGTCAACTGCGCTTACAGCAAGCATCTGTTTCGTTAGAGCTGTGACCCATGCAGCGCTGTGCGTATGCAGTATACATTTCACATGCTCCTGCTCGGGCACACATTCATGTGCGCGAGTCCTTCTTCCCGTCTTCCTGGCCGCAGACTTTATTCGAGAGGGAAAAGTTTTTATTTTTGCACCCTCAGCAGTCAGCAAGGCCCAGCTTCACACCAAACCCTTCCTGTTGAATCATGCACAGCTGCCCAGTAATAGCAGGAATGCGTGAAAGAGCTGTCAGTTGACGGAGTCCGCTGTCATCAGCTCGGCAGAGAGTCAGAGACAGGAGAAGAAAAGGCAAGCTTTAAAGAGGGGATGTTTGCGGCCTCTCATCTCAGAGTAACGAAAGCAGCAATCAAAGTCTTCAAGGTTACTGTCCTAGCCGCAGCCTTGTGCAAATAACGCACGAGGCATCTCTGGATTGAAACCATGGATTGTCATTATTCGTCCCTCCCCCCCTCCCCCATGATAAAAAAATCCTGTCTTTTATTTGCAGAAACTAACATTAATCACCGAGGCCTTGTCTACGAAGCAGGATCATTTTCTGTGTGTTACTCATGCTTCCTGCTCGGTGTTTGTCATACCGTTACATGTGCATGAACGCTGTAATCTTGTATTATTGGTAACCAGTGTGTACAGCTGTTGTGCATGTGCATGTGCATGTATGTAAAGATTCCATGCCATGTGATTGTTGTACTGCAGTCGTTGTAAAAATGGATCACAAATGTCCCATTGGACGGCAAATTTGTCATTTTTGGGGGTATGTTAGTGCCAAGTTCAAGTGATATTCCTAACATGATGGGGACCTTAATACTGTACAGTGAAATCTCGGTACCTCAAATCTCTGGGGAATGGACAAAAAATTCGAGTTAGAAGAAGGTTCGGATTTCTTTTGAAGTTACATGTATGTAACTTGGCAGTGAGTAAATATTCATTTTCTGTGCAGACATGCTCCCCAAGTGTCAACGTACACTGTACAGGTAAACAGACATGACAGAAGGGGAATTCTATCATTATGGATGTTAGTTACGTTTGTATGCAATTTCCAAGTTTCGTTTGATGAACAAATTCACTTGTGGTGGGGAAAGAAACAGTTTAGTTGCTTTTATAGCCTGTATATTCATGTGTTAAACCTAAGAAACTTTGTTTTAGCTTCACTGATTAATAAGCCACAGGTGTGAGAAAGGAATATTACGGACATTACACGTTATGGCATGGCTTTTTGACCTTGGATACATTTAAGTAGAACTCTGTGAAGTTGCTTCCTTTAGCTTTTTATACAAACTATGTCGTAGCTGGTCTGAGTCTACTCTATCCAGGCATGAATTGAAAGTTAGGAAAAAGTGCCCCCGTGTCTAGTTAGTTTTGTTAAATAAAGCTGTTACGGACGTTACATTTATGTTACAGACGAACGTTACATGTGTAGAATACATGCACATGTAAAGAAAACAAATGTTAAGAATTATTTTATTAATTGTAATTTTCCATAAGGTACCGGTATGGCTGTGACGCCCCCTTGGATTCATTAAATTGAGATGTTCCCCCAACCAGCAATAGTGGAGAAAAAAATGTAAAATCAATTTGAAACTTCCGCAGTCATGTACAGTTGGTGTGGAATTGTCCAGTCAATATTATGGCTTTTTGTAAATAAATTTGTTCTGGAAGAACAAGTGTTCCTTTGTGTACATGTACAAGTAGTTTGTAAGTATCAGTTTAAACAAAAATCAATGCTACAAGGGGTGCACTGTTATTAATTAATTACTTTTTATTATAATCATGATATACAGTGTACATGTACCCGTACGCTGAAGAATTAACATTGTTTATTGTCATTTTAAACACATGAAAACAGTAGTCAACTCTACGCATCCATTCCAGCTATCCTTAAGTTTTCAATTTTGAATTTTTTCTTCATATAATTTTTATTAGCTAAGCTCTTTTCAATGATCCAACAAATGCTGATGAAGTCGAGAAATCCCATGTACAGCTGGTTAAATATTTTCACACTTGATAAGCATCTTGCAGAGGCAAGCACGCTTCGTTTGGCCAGTCCTTGACAGCCACACAATCTTGCCGAGTCGTCAACCATTTCCAATTTTATGCACTCGTCTCTTTTTCTTTCCGTGCTGTCCGTTCCTCCTCCCTTTGATGTGCCCACCTTGATTGTCCAAGGACACTCCGAGGTTCATTAGTATGGCAAAGAAAAAACCACTTTAAGACGAATGCAGAGGAGATTGACAGGATAAGAAACCTTGAATGGTGGAGGGGGGTCATGGGTAGTGCCCTGCTGCGTTCTTGTTGCTCTGATGTCATTTCCTCACCTCTTACGGCTCCTGTCTCCTCTTCTCTTGCCATTTAATTTCGTCGCAGGTAGAGCAAGGTTACGGCCAGTTAACGGGGGAAGGGATCTAGGGACGGCTCCTTTGAAGTGACATGCGAGGCCAAGTGCTGGGAGAGACCGTATCACTGCGGTGAGGCCGGTTCACCTCGGATCTGACGGTTCCGCTGAATTCTCCACTCCACGTAGACCGATTGTCGTCACCTTCGCAGATGGCTCCTCCGCTCTGCCTAGTGCAGAGCCGCCCATGAGCCGAGCCCGATGGACCATAGTACGGACCAGCTCCATACCACCCCAGCCATGGCGGACCCGTTAGCTAAGCCCTCACTCAAACCCAAGCCAGCGTTTGCCCAACTGGCAAACCCCTCCCAAGGGGGTGGAGCATATGGCATGGAGTACGAAATGGGAGAGGCAGTATACAGTACACAACCCTTTGACACCAGCCCAAAGGTAAGCATTCAACTTTTTAAAAAACTCTTTAGCAAGAGTACAATGTATTCAAATTCAAAACGTCTTGATCTCCTAGAATGAGTCTTTCAGAAAACAAAAAATGACACTTTTCAATTGAAGTGGAAATTGTCTGTTGCGTACATGTACATGTATATCACATTGTACATGTGCATGCAGTGTAGCTCTTTCAAAGTTCAGTACAAAATTCCTTTATCTTTACACCAGTTCTTTTTGTTATGCAAACTGTACATTAAATAGTCATGCTCAGATTGAAATGACGAGTAACTTTTACCCCGGTGCGTCTGTTGTTTCTAACATACAATACTAGGACATGGACTGGTGGCTTCAAAATTGAATTATGCAGCTGCTGATCACCGGTTACAATACCTGTACAGGTACCGGTACTTTCAACCTAGAGACTTGACTTGACTTCGCATGGCCAGTTAAAGTGACCATGGCGACCACCTCTCTGTAGGTCTGTGGGTTTGGAGCCAGGTCCATCAGGTAGTGCAGTGGCCGCAACCTAGAGGTTGTTGAGAAGCATTAAAGCGATTCTGGCAGTAGGCATGTTGACTCTGTCTCACTCTTGAATTTGATTTGTCCAATATTTATTTTGTTTCAACGAAGTACCCTTTCAGAGGTGCATTAGCAGGTGTACAAAAAAATCATCAAAAGAGCCTGAAAAATTCACAAATCTTCAGAAAGCTTTTTATGAAGTACATGACGATTTGTCAAAACTTATTACAAAGATCCTTGTAATAAAAAAAAATGTTTTGGCTGGCATTTTTCTTAGGGGGACGGGAGTTCTTGTGTTAATTACTGATAGGATACAGAGTCCTGATGACGTGTTGTATGCACGACCGTGCATCGCTTGACCCAAACTTGCTTCAGCACGCACATTTAATTTCACCATCGGTAATCATTCCTTCCCCCCCTCCCCGTCCCAGTGGTCACATTAATAACATTTGCAGGAAATCAATTCTGCAGTGTGAGGATCTTGTATCACTCGAGATACCGGCTATCGATTGCAGAAATCCATTAGCACACATGGGGCACCGGGGACAGTTCTACACATATGTACATGTATGTACATGTACATGTATGTACATGGATGTATGGAGATGCAGTGTACTCATGATGGTATTGGTTGTCATTGTACAAGTTAAGTGTTGGTACATGATCAGTACACGCATGCAGTTTCTCAGGTTGCGGGCTGGCCTGTTTTATGCTGTGAGGATTAAATCACACTGCCGGTCTCAGATATCCACACATTTGAGGCAGACCGAGTGAGCCGTGTAATAGGAGAGTTTATTAGTTTTTGTTTTGGTGGGGGAATCGGATCAGTTAACTTAAGTAAATTTGAGGAACACTTGAAATACAGAGTAAGGCATCGCAGAGGGGAATCTTTTTGATTTGAAGAAAGAACAAAGAAACACCTTGTTCAAAAGGCATAAGGTAGGGTAGGGTTATGGTTCCAGTTTCTTTTCCTAACCGGTACTTGCATTTCGACAATGTGACCCTGAAGTTGGGAAGGGGGGGGGACTTTGGGAGAAATGGTAAATTGGAAATAAGCAAAGAAACAAAGTTTTCTCTCTGAATGCGTTGCAGAAAGGTTACGTATTCATGCAGTTTAGTGTTTAGTGCATGTTTAGTTCAGTTGAAACAAAATGCCACCTGACAGACGTCTCGTTATCATTTAACCAGTTAGCACTTAGCTTTACGTTGAATCATTAACAAATTTGAGCAGACCTGTTCGTATTGGGGCCCAAAGAGTCAGAGTTTTAGCTAAATGCAATGTTCCGTCAATTGAGAGTCGATTCCATGAGATTCCGTTTATCTACAATCAAACTACATGTACATACATTGTACATGTATGGTATCCGGATTCTCACCATCCACGTTCACAAATGTAGTTGCATATATACATGTACATGTATTTAAGATGATTCTAGCCAATTAAAGCTGATGCCATGAGATGTACATGTATGCATATATTCATGGACAGAGGGTACCATACCAGTACATGTACGGTACATGTGCCATGTGCATGCATGGCATCTATCCGCCCCAATGGTCCGTGATCCGCCATAGCACCACGGTCCTTTCATGGTCAAGTACATGTACATGTATGTACATGTAGCCTAACTTGAGATTTCTACTGGTAGGTTTGTCAGGTTACATGTGTCATAATTTTGAAACTAGCTGCATGTAGATGCCATGTATTTACTGTCAAAACTGGAAGAAATGTACGTTCATGTACCTACATGTACATGTTTGCTTCTATGTTTTACACGTATAATGTAAAATTATCAACAACACGCAATTTCGTGGGTTATAAACAATGAAAATTGCACACTTTACACTTTTCTATGGTTTGCAATGTATCGGTACATAAACAGTTTTTAATTCAAATACGAGACACCGATTTGTATGTACATGTAATTGAGCTTAGCCATGGTGGAAACATACTTAAAATTGCCTACCGGTATGGTAAATAAGTAATCGACAGACGGCATCCCCCAGAAAATATTTTGATCTTTGCTCATTCCAACTTGGAACACATCTTTACCTTTACCCATGTACTGTACATGTTCCGTGTGTTACATACTGGTGCATATATGGTACACTTGTACTAGTAAAGTACACTTACATGTACCGGTGCATTAATTAAGCCTTAGTTTGTAAAGATTCCCCAGTAGATCAAGGCTGTTCACTAGGGACTTGATGTTTGACTCCAGTTTCTGGTCAGACACCGAGTACCGAGTTCCCTTAATTGACCAAGTCCCCTGCGGATGCGGAGTGCAGTTACATATTGCAAAGCAACCTTTTCTCTTCTTGACGGCCCAACCCATCTCGGCAAATCGGCCATGTCTCCTGTTTGCCCACACAATGCGTCTGCAGTGAGCATCAGAATGTTCTAATCTATCGCCTGTCATCAGCCGTCGTTGTCCTACCCCTTTCCCCCTCAGCTAGGCTTGACATATCAGCACCTCTCCTGCGAGAATGTTGTCCACTGTTGCTGCAGTCTCCTCAGAATGGTCACAGATACTCTTAGAAAATGAATCGACAGGCGCAGTCAGATGACAGTAGTAACCATTTTTCACACTCCCACAAAGTGTTTCCTCCGGGTACATTTTAGCAGGCAATATGCATGTCCATACTTGTCCATTTGATAGTTCCGTATAGAGTTCTTCTAGTACATGTACTTCGTCGTTTCCTCAAGAACTTTTCCTGCATTTTACTGGTAGTTTGCCATCTTTAGAACTGTTGTAATGAAGCAAAATCCGAGTTTTGACCAGATCTGTACAATAGGTACATGGACAAGGGTCATTCCAGAAATTAGGGGTCCATTTTTTTTTGTGTCCCTGTCACACCTGACATAAGATTTTGTAAGTTCTGAACACATTTTCTAATTTCCATGAGTGATGAATTAATGCAAATTACATGTGTACCTGCCAAACAAAAAGTAAAGTTCAGTTTGAAATCAATTCCGTTAATATTTCCATGTCAAATAACAAAGGTCAGATGTAACAGGGACACCAAAATGTCACACTTTTGGACCCCTAATTTCTGGAATTACCCATGTACACGTATACCATACTCTTACCTCTTACATACATAGTAATGTACCGGTATGTACATGTACATGTATGAGATTAACTTCACTGGTCTACGTGTAGGGTACCGAGTACAGTAAGCTCACAACAGTTTTGAATACCCCAAATTAAACCAAGCATCCAAAGTGAAGTGGACTATCCACCCACAGCATTTTGTTCAACATGGCCGTCCTCCCTCCCCGGTGCCATTTCACCTGGATGGGTGGCCAAAAAAAAAAATCACCACGTGCTGGACGAAGTGTTTGAAAATAAATTACTGCAGCCCGTGCCGCCGAATGCCAAAACAGATGCAGTGAAGCTGATTTCAGTCGCATGAGGGAGCACATTCACGGGCAGCTGGCACTTTTTAATCAAAATTCAAATCGCCCTTCTTCAGCAGAATGATTTCCTGAGAAAAAAAAATGTACTTCCAACACACGTGTGGAAATCATGAAGGCCTATATACCGGTACGGTACCTCTGACCTTTTATTTTTATTTGGTGTTGAAGAAAAGTAAAGAATTGAGATTGAGCGGTGGTGCACTTCCCAAGCTGGAATTGGACACGGACCCTCGCGCAGGTGAAACAACACAGGAGCACGGCGCGTGATGTCATGTGGGGAGGGGAGCCGGGTTTTTTTTTTTTTTTCATCAAATTTTTTTATCTCTTTTGGGGCGGACAAGCGGAGTCTAGACAACGCGGTATTGACCGATGGGCGTTGGTGCAACCGTCTGCATCGGGAATTTGCTGTGAGTTTGAATTCAGACGACGCTGACGATCATTTCGGAAGGGGGAAAGGATTGCTTTTTGGGGGGTCGGTCTCTCTGGGCCAAATTCTTATTTGCAATGGTAAAATATACATGTACACAAGTCAATCGCTGGAAGCAGAAATTTTATGCATTATTGATTCCAGGTGTACTCCAGACAAGGAACATTAACCCTAACCCTCCTCAATCCTTCACCTGTTGGAGGATTGAGGAGGGTTAGGGTTAATCATGCACTTGTACAGATGGATACTGTCAATGCATGCATGTAAATAGGAGCGGAAATCATTAAGCACCCGGTGATGCTTGTAAGTTCCCCAATACATAATGTACTTCTTGTACCAGCACATAAGTTTTGGTATCAACAAGTTACATGAAGTTTTTACTTTTTGGTGCTTAAGCACTTGGTTTCTTTTTCTTCTTTTTTTGAATGGGGTAAATGAAAATTGAGAAAAAAAGTGACTCATAATGGTAAGAGTAAACAATTTCCCAGATGAATAAGTCCATCGGGAAAACTTCCCTATCAAAATTTTGCATTTCGTTTAAGCCACGCAGGGTGAACAATTAAAAATCCAAACGAAACAAAAATCTGCCTGCGTTTGCATCATTTGATTCATGTAGTGGCAAATATCAGTCAATAAAATAGCTCTCAATCTTTGTCTGCGTTACTTAATTTATTCAGTTCAAATCACTTCACCCAAAGCTCTACTTCCAATCCAGAGGATTCATTCTCCCAATCAACATTCCTCATTTCACTTTTCTCCCCGAAAAGTCAAGCTTCCTCCCAAGAAGAGCACTGTTGGGTGACCCTGTGTTTCTCTGTCACTGTTGACTGTAAGGGAAGGTCATCCATGTCATCAGTGCCGGCTCAAATTACCCTCAGGAAATTTGATATCCGTATAACATGCATGTTTTGCAAACCACTCAACACAGGTAATTAAGTCATTTGAAAAATGACCCCCAAATGACAATCTACCCAGCATGGTAAGGTAATCTACCTCATGAGCAATTAGTGTACCAGTGCATATGTACATGTACCTGTACTGAGTCATGTTCAGTGTTTGTGCATGTTTCAAAGGTCAAGTTGAATGGATGAAGGTCTGTGGCAAAACAAATGGCAGTTCTGAGTTTCAATAACACTCAGTACAGTACAGTTCTGAGTTTCAATAACACTGTGGAAGGTTCACAAGGTGTGCACTTGCAGATGTGGCAGAATGTATGGTAGGCGACGCATTCCCGTCATTACTCTACATGAAAAAAAGTTGCGCTCTTTCGGACTTCCTCTCCTTGCAACTTTTTCCCAAGGAGATTTCCATTCACCGACACACATGTTCATGTCCAGTATGCTTCAGGCCTCCCCCCCTCGGCCTCAGTGCGGCTCTGCAATCTCACCCAGCCGAGAATAACATGCTGTGAAGTTCAAGGTGACGCAGTTTTTCTCTCTGTAATTTCTAGGGCAAGGTCCACTGATCCTCAGCGAGGAAAGTGAGGCAGGCACGTTCCAGGGGCACGACTAGATCTGCATCAAAGGCTGCCGTACTCGTTGCAAGGACCTGAGAACTGAAATCTTGCGTTTACCCCTCACATCAATAAACTTGCTGACTAGAGGAATTTATTTCGATTGAAGCCTTTACATTTCTGCTTGTATTCACGTGCATTGTGGTTGTACCTTTAATGTGCTTTGGCAAGATTACATGTACCGTACATAGATGGAACGTAGTACGATGGAACGTACGTAGATGGAACTGGGCTGAGGTGGTACCGATATTGGGACATGTATCCAAGAATGAGATCATGCAAAAACTCTCATTGGTTTTCAAAAGTTTACACTAAACTCAAATTTGAAATTTGGGTGTTCTGGTGTTGGTATACATGTACATGTAGGGCCCTATATACTGGTGCACAAAACAGAAATGGGGCCAGGCACTTTTTCTCTGTAGGTATTTCTCCGTATTTCTGCAAGAGTTCAGTGGCAACAAACGTACATGTACATGTCGGCATACATGTACAGTGTACGGTAGCACTTTTATGTATCTCCTATGTGTACAAATGATATTCCCTTTTACAGTCCAAATGGACAGAACAACATTTACTGATACATGCACTACATGTACATGTAGGTCACTTTTGACTTTGAAAACCACAATGGATATAATTTTTATATGCAAATAAAAATTACTCTGGTTTCTGTCCACTTACATGTACTCATGTACTGTGATTGTATACAGTAGTACACATGAAGAACCGGTTGTAGAGTGCTTTGAGACGTGGTAAAAATAGAAAAACCATCAGGGAAACATGCCTCTGGTACCATGTAGCATGAAGGTACATGTAACTCTATACTGCATATTGTGTTTTGTAAATACCGTAAAGAAAACTATAGGGCACTACCAAAATTGGTCTCATGCAGTCTGTTACTTTGCGAGCTCACATGATGAATCGTACATTCCACAACTATACAAAATTTGCAATACCTGTACATGTGCTAACAATCTACCGGTACGTTGTTCACTACACACACTCCATCATCATCGGCTATTATAAGGAAGTGCATGTCGATTACTCAAGTCAAATTAATTGAGTTGATTCACTTAGCCTGTTGTTGGCCTGTGGTGAAGCTACCTGTGGGCCTTCAGTAAATTGAGCAATATGAAGGGAAAAATTGCCGCAGCTGTCTGGCCGATTGAAGAAAATTACCGTAGTGTCGCCAGCTGACCAGAAGAGGTTGTGGGAGGAATAAATGGTCCCCCCCCCGGTATGATACTGTGTGCAGAGCTGTAAAATAACTTCAGATTGGATCTGAAAAATTTACATTTGGGTCTGCCCTTTCACAGTTTTTCTCCGAAAAGAACTTGTGAAACCAGGAGATGTACATGTAAGTTATTTAATACATGTACACGTACATCTGGTGATAGCCTGGTGGCCATTTCATGAATTTTGATAACGAGCAATGCCAATTTTTGTAATGAGATTGCTCTCCATTAATGATGCAAGCTGCTTTGAAAGGGCATCTTGGGACATGCTCAGATATCAAAAATAAGGTTAACGACTTGGGTAAAGATTCAGAGGAAGCTACTGTGTAAGAGGTATTGAATGGACTGCCTCCCCCGTGTCCTTCGTTTACTGTTTTAAGTCAGTTGGAAGTCCTTTCCATTGAAACCTTCATGTACAGGTACATGTAACTGACGACAAACAAAGTTTGTAAAATGCCTGTTTTTTAACTGGTGATTAGATTAAATTTGGAATGACAGTGGAAGCAATGTCACCTGTATTGTCATCGGGGAAGGGGGGGGATGCGGGAATGTAGATGTGTGAATTTGGCCAAGTACAGATAATGTACAATTGACTCTAAAAAGTCCCCGCTCATTTCTCCCTTCGATCCCGACTGTCCCTAACTCTTTGACCCCCCCATTGCGTACATGTACACGTACATGTATGTTGCTGCGCTTGAATTGCAGCAAGCGTGTAGTTTTTTAATGTAGCCGTCGACCACTGCAAAAATGTTTTGTAGCCAAGAGCAATCTAGTGACTGGAGCCAGCTTACTGTGAAAAAAAATCATGGTGTAAAACAAAATTGTAGGATTATGGCCACTTACAATAGTACGAGTGTTTCTGTTGAGAATTCAGTTTTATATAATCAATTTAAAAAAACAAAAAATCTAGTCTGAGTCCCACCTTGAACTCTAAAAACACATACATGTACAGTGTACGTACAAGGACCCAGAGATACGGTACAGTACTCTGATGCCGGTCGTGCTGGTAGTTAGAGCAGTTGAGAAGGGTCACTGCTCGCGTTCACGTACATGTACGTCACGTTCATGCACAAGTACATTGAACACAACTTTTTTTCTACATGGCCTGACTTTGTTTTGATTAGAGATGAGGCTCTTTCATCCTGACAAATGATGCATTCATGAGTTAATCGGTATTAATCTGATGAGCATCAGATGTCTCCTCAGAACACATGTACCGCTGTGTCTAGTACGTGTACATGTATACAGTAGGTTCCTGTTATTTCACACGCATGTGCCGTACAGGACCTTTGCAACTAATGATGTACATGTACATGTAACTAAGTTCAGGCATGTTTATTATCTATTTCAAAGATGGATTTGCGCCAGGGAGATGTTAATTAATTTTGGAGTTTTACCCAGCCCGACGTGTATTTTAACACTGTATACTCAGTGTAAACCCCCGAAGGCTTGTGAAAAAAACCACCAGCGTGCTCGGGTGGGACTCGAACCCACGACCTCCTGCCTATTTATTATCCTTTATGTCATGTCTGTGAAAAGGAACCTGCTCTGATTGTTTTTTTGTCATCTGCAGTCACTAATCTATGATTTAACTGCTAGTGTTTACAATGTTAAACCTGTGTACAAATGAGGAACAAACAGAAGAGATGGAAAAGGGAAATATGTGTACATTGTAAAATGGAAGTGACTCAATACCACAGTACATGTACGATAAACCAGCTGTGGGGTTTCTACACCTTTTGAAAAAGTGACTTAGACGCAGAGTTGTTATCAAGTCAGTCACAAGTCACTGCAAGTCACTGCAAGTCAGTCACAAGTCACTGCAAATCACTGCAAGTCAGTCACAAGTCACTGCAAGTCCCCACAATTCAGTCACAAGTCACTGCAAGTCCCCGCAAGTCAGTCACAAGTCACTGCAAGTCCCCGCAAGTCAGTCACAAGTCACTGCAAGTCCCCGCAAGTCAGTCACAAGTCACTGCAAGTCCCCGCAAGTCAGTCACAAGTCATTCAGCCACAAGTCAATTTGAAAGCTATTCAATGAACTGTGACAAAGGAATTCCTTTGTTGTTGTTCATCTCTTTAGTTCCGCTCTGACTTGTGAAATGACTCGGGAAATGACTTGTGAGTTGACTTGTAGACTGACTTGTGACTGAAGATCTACATTGTCATTGGCTCCAATATGCCAGTGTTTATCTGTAAATACAAAGCTATCCAAATAAACAATTTGGAAAGCTTGTTAATAACGTAATGCCCAAAATATCAGCATTGCACTACATGTGTGTACTGATTCAGAATTTTATTATTTCCTGTTTCTCAAATTTTGTAATTGCAGATGCCCTGTCAGACAAATGGAACTCCCACACAGCAGCCCAGCCCTTCCAAACTCACTTACAACCAATCAGAAAGCAGCACTCTAGAAGTCAGGTCATGCAGAGGGTCAGAGGTCAGTAGTCTGGCCACCGTCCCAGAAGAGATTGTTTATGATGATGTGGTCATTCCAGATGACCAGACTGAAGACATTTATGTTGTTCCCAGCTGCCAAGTACAACACAGTGCTCACATAAATAACTCGAACAATACTGGTAAGTCAGACGTTGGGAACTTGGCAGCGACAGATGACAACATTTACGATGATGTCATACCTCCCAGTATGGCTGCCGTTGACGTGCTCAAACCACAGCAAGGTAAGAGCAACTCTGAAGCAGAAGGCAATGCAATTATTGACGCCAATGGGAATGCCAAGCCGCGCAAAAGTCGGCCGACAAACCTGGAGATGCCGACCGTGAAAGTGGCAGCCATTGTGGAAAACAGGAAGCAGCCCGACACGCTGAGCTATGACGCCATGCTGTTGTACGCCGCAGACAACCAGGCAGGGGCCGTCCAGCCAAGGTACACATCCTCGCCACGGGGCCAGGGCACCAGCCCTCCGGATCCTACCATCTACGAGGTGGAGTGCCTCCCCGGCGGTCCCGGGAACGACCAGCATCCGAACGGAGGTGAGAGCAGTGTGGACCAAGGGTGGCATGAGAATGAGATATATGAAGGTAGGGTAATTGCTGACTGGGTTACCAGCCAAGCTTGTCTGTCGTTGACGCACAGTCTGTCATCTTGTTTGGATGTCCGCTGTCATCTCCTCGCTCACCACAGTCTTGTTTCATCAGCATACCCTCTGCCTCTGTATGTATGTGACTCTTGCAAGCGGGGTCGTACTCGAGTCCATCATGAGTCCCTTTCCACAAGTCCCTTTCCAGGTCTAGTCACAGGTCCCTTCACACNGGCCAGTCACAAGTCCCTTCACAAGGCCAGTCACAAGTCCCTTCACAAGGCCAGTCACAAGTCCCTTCACAAGGCCAGTCACAAGTCCCTTCACAAGGCCAGTCACAAGTCCCTTCACAAGGCCAGTCACAAGTCCCTTTCCAGGTCTAGGCACAGGTCCCTTCACAAGGCCAATCATAAGTCCCTTCACAAGGCCAGTCATAAGTCCCTTCACAAGGCCAGTCATAAGTAACAGGGTGAACAATGACAAAAGAATGTTTTCATCACAGTTCATTTGAATAGCTTGTGCATTGGCTTAAGACTGAATGACTTGTGATGGACTTGCAGGGACTTGTGATGGACTCGAATACAGCGCTGCTTCCAACTTAAACTTTGACCTTCAACCCCAGAAGAGCTGCAGTGGTAGGGGGAGGTGAAATCTGTCCCTTTCCTTATTTACTTCTGATCACTTTGACCCCTCTCTTTCTTGCTACGATTTTGCAAATTGTTGGTTAACAAATCGGACGGGGGGAGACATTAACTATAGAGGTTTTTCACGTGACGCACCGGGTAACATAACGGGCAAAGGCATTTCAGGAAGCATACATGTACCATGTCCATGGAGGCGCATGCATCTTTGATACCTGTGCATTTCTGCCAATTTTGTGTATAGCAGAATGTTTAGAGACTCCAAAGGCGTGCGTATTTCCACGCACATCTGTGGAAATTAAATGCCGACCATCAAAAAATCACATGACTGCAAATCCTCTGTTTCTACTAACATAGTATCTTAATGATTTATGGATGGTAATACGTGTTGTGTCATAAGGCTTTGTGACATTGTCCACTGATTTGGCCTGGTAATCTTTGCTCAGAATGCATCCTTGGCACATGTAGCCAGCAAAATCGACCAGTGATATGCATCCCTAATAAATCTTGACCATGGAACTTTCAGAAAGAGAAAACTAACAGGCTGGGTTGCTGCTTTGAACGGTGCCCAAATTTCCACTGTAAACATCGCAGCATTTTTTCTCCATCATTTAAGAAGCACTGCTCAGCATCACGCGCTGAGAAAAATATTGCCATCGCTGTCTCATTAAGGATGCGCACATTTCCGGTAACTTCACACGAGCTTGCGTTTGACTGCAGAAACGTCAAACAATCATATGCTGCAACGCACATACACGCAACCATGGAAACGGAATGCAAGGTTTCTTTCAGAAAAAAAGAATTTTCTTTCTGTGCTCTGCCAAATGGCCAGTGCGAAACTGATCCGCCATGCTGATCAGTACTGCCATGTGGCAGACATCTATATTTCACCGAGTCACCTGAAGTGTTCCTGACATCACCACTGGTTTAAATTCAAGTGTGTGTTCTCACTAGCAACTCGGTGCTTCATTGGTGCCTTGTAATAAATGAAGCTACATGTACATGTACCGGTATATCATCTGTGCAGTGTGCAGTGAGAAAAGGGTCCCAGGTTGAACGTGAAGAAAGGGTTAAAGGTCATTTTTTTCCCTTCTTTTTTAGGTGCTTCTAAAAAGTGAGCGAAATCCTGAAATGCCAGTGAACTTAAAGTGTACAGTATTTGGGCCCTTTTGGCTGATTAAAATGGAAGACTTGTACCAAACGATTAATTTGAAGCACTGATTAATCTTTTCTGAGTGGTTACGCACTGTGATTTGCTGCAGTGCAGAGCACTCTCATTAAGGTTGTTTTGTCAGGGTTACCCAGCATGTCAGCATAGTTTAAGTCTAACTCCAGCGTGATTACATCCTTTTCCTCACCAGCTTACGAAGGCGATTATGCCCAGCCCCGCCTGTCCACCCACTTTGACGCCTTGGAGTGCAGCGGCGAAGACAGTGGTCCCTATGAAGAGCCGAATTTTGACGAGGACGAACAAGGTTTTTTTGTATTATTGCTATTTAATTTCAACAGGGTAAAGCCTCATCAGTTACAATCAACTAAATTGGAGTGTGTTGTAAATTAATGCCCGTCATCTGATTGATGAACTGTCGATCACATGACATAGCCTGTGCCCTGATCGCCGAAAACATTACATGAGAGCCATGCAGTACCCAGTAGTTCTTTTTGGTTGAACAATGAATGCTTGCGGTATAAAAGTTTGATTTTTGATTGATGCAATCTGGCACTCATTCTTACTGTAAACGATGCCTGTTACATACGGGGTTTTTTTCCTTTTTGGCACGCATGCACTTTTTGAAAAAAAAAGTGGATTCGAAGACAATGAGCATTGCTTGTTTCAAATGCCCCGACATCAATCTACGTTTTTACATAGGGTGAATTACATAGTGTGCATTGTTGAACTATGTAATTATACGTATGAAAACACCGAGGTAGGCAGCAGCAGCAGCCTCTGTGAAGTGTTGGCTAACGTAAAACGGTATTGGACAGTTTTCTAAACATTTTTCAAATTGAACGTAAATTCCCAGCCTTATTTCACATGAATTGGCCGATCCGTTCAGTTGGTAGCACAATGTATTTAGTGGCCTTGAGCAAGCTTGAGCAGGTAATTATTTGAAAACAAACGAAATGCCAAAATAATAAAAAGCAGCTTCAACAATAATATTCCACCCTCCCACTTTGTGGACAGTTCCAGGAAAATGCACACCTAGGGATGGTTGCAATTTGTTTGTCCGACGAGCCGACCAACGTCCAAGGAATTTTGAAACTCTCCCAAGACAGCTGAGGAGGGCAGATCTGCAAGGTCTGGGTTCTTAGATCCATGGATAATTGAGGGCACAGGGAAAAATCCACATGGAATCATTGTTATTGCTTGATCCCTGGAGGGTTGTGGTCGGGCGATGTTTGGTAGGCTGCGGCGTTTTGAATAACTTGATTTTTACCTGTGTCATCTGTGGGGCTCTGGTTTGGATGTACGGTAAATCTAGGCACAACCTGCTTTTTTTCTTGTTTTGTTTTTGTCAGGGTGTCGACGTTTTACTCCACTATCATTTGATTGGATTGTTAGATTAGAACTGTAAAACACTGGTCATGCTGGTACACTGGTACCGTATGTACATGTGAATGGAGACTGGAGAATTGCATTTGCCAATGCTATAACAGTGAGAAATGAGGAACACGTTCTAGGTTTGGGATGAAATCATGGCCCTTGAATTGCATTTTCCAAATCATTGTTAGTGAAATTCTCTGCCCAAAGTGCAAAACAAGAAGTGTAATAAAAGTACATGTATCCCATCCCTTGAGATGGTTCAAGATGATAACCCAGCTCTCTGAGGGTTAAACTCTTCATCAGGATCTGAATTTTACTTGTACTCTGGTACATGCATACATGTATATATACACTAATTGACCTAAGCAGACCTATTGAAGTCATCTCCTCTCCCAAGCCCCAGACTGAAGGAATTATGTAACACCACCAGGAGCACATGTTCCATTTGCATAATCACTGGAGCAGAAACACAAAGAACCAAGCCTCAGTCACATTGATGCCAGTTGTTGTGGCGGTCATGCATTCAAAAAGTTTTTTCTCTTCCTGGGAAGAAGACAGCTGGCCGTAACCTTTAAGGATGGATTTGAAGATGAGAGAGTGAGAAGTACATGTAACAGCTGGTCATCATTCATGGCTTGGGATGGTTCGTCCAGGCAGTGTGTATTTATGACATTCATCTTGCCTTTCTGTGAACTACATGTACATGCAGTCAGGGAAATTTGGAGTGGATAGTAATGCTGGTAGAGACAGGTCAGCTGTTAGCATCCAAGGAGGGATGAGCTTTGTGTCAGAAGGTTTGTTTTGTGGGTTGTGGGCCGGCTGGCTTCTCCAAGTGGCAAAGATTGAGATGGGGGGACTCTTACAGCCAGACCAATGCTCATGGAGCACAGACCACACGAGCCTCACATCATGCCAGATGATCAGAACTGCTTGATTGTGCGGCTAGCGTCTTCAGCTTAGGGTGATTATCTCAGTGACCAGAGAAAGAGTTGATCCTGCAGTAAGGTACATTTACATTGTACAGGTGCTTCATTTCTATAAGACTGGCCTGTACAATGTACACGGGTCCTGTGACAGAGCTGACAACAGGTAACTGTATTTCAAGCGTCTCAGTTTTTGTGAAGGAAGCATCCGTGCGGCGATACTTATTAAAAAAAGTTTGTAGCAAGTAAGGCCTCAGGGATCAAGCCAAGTTATTTTGTCACACTTTTGTCTGGATATTGCCATGGCAAGTCGCTTTCATCGCGAGATCTGGGTGGACATGGATCCCCAGGTCATGCACGAGTTTCAGTGCCTTCTGTCGGAGTATGTCATCGTGTCGCCGGGTGTGGCGCAAGAGGAGATATGCCGTGTGCGGTGGGATGCATTTCTTGACACAACAGGTACATGTTCTTGCAGAAAGTTTTCTTGGGGTGGATTTGGTGATCCTCAACTTGGCAAGTTGCCAGAAAAGGTACCAAGCACATGTATGCAAACTACTGAAGCTAGAAACCTCATTGAAAATCTGTTCAGAAAGTGGGCTATTTTGGCCATCAAGGAAAGGATGCGCATAGCGTTTGGGTACACTTATACAAAGTCTGGTTTTTTTCATTGTCAAGCAAACTTGAATTTGTCCCTGTCACATCTGACGTTTGATTTTATAAGTTCAGAACACAGTTTCTAATTTCCAAAAGTGACGAATTAACGGAAATTACATGTACCTGCCAAACCAATAGTAATAGTTTGAAAAAAAAAAAACAATTCCAGTGATATTTCCATTTCAAATAACAAAGGTCAGATGTAACAGAGAAACAAACATGTTACACTTTTGGACCTCAGATTCCTTGAATCACCCTCCTGTTATGGTCACTTTTTCCTCGGTTGATTACGTGCGCATGCACTGGAACCGGTGTGTACCTTTCAGTGAATTATTGAGTATTGTAATGCTCTACTGAGCTACATGTATATGTAGGGTTTCAAATGTCGGTAATTTCATCACGGGTCCTAATACTGTACCGGTTCATGTACGTATAGTTGGTGTAATCTGGCTCTTAAGATTGACAAGCTCATCAAAGCCTTCGTGACTCCTGCAGAAAAGATTCATTTTTCCAAGCGCCCGAGCCCAGGGCCTGTTGTTGGAACAACATACCGAGCATGCCCGTGTGCATTCAAATGTCCAATGAGTTGGGCCCAACACCGCAGCCGGGAGCCCCTTTGGGAAATCGTGTGCTCAAGTGACAACTGAGATTGTCTGCCGAGCGATAACGTGTTGAAGGGCTTAAACCGATCACGGCTGTCTGATAAAGTGATAGGCGATACCATGGAACATTGACTGAATGTGCCTTACCCCAATTCAAGAGAAATTATCCTTCACAATGCAATAGATTTCTTAAAAGTACTAAGTGCACTGCAACACTGGTATCACACTACACATTGTAGATTACCATTCATGTATGTGCAAGTTAGACACTGTTCAATAGCCAAGGACCGTGCGTGTGGTACACCTGTGTGCTCGTTATTATTTTTTGGTGCTATTAATCAAGTATTGGAGATTACTTTATTATGATTCTTAAAAGCCGTTGTATCATGTTTCATATTGGGCAGCTAATAATACTAGAAGATTCTTTTATATGCGCATAAAAAAAATTTTTAATCATGTGCGCAGACGATATCAGTTTACAGGCTCAAGGAATTCGATGTTTGCTTTTCCGGAAATTAAAGTGTACGGTCGTGGGATAGAATGACAGACGGCGGCTGGCCGTGTGATGCATTGGGGATGAGTTGCTGGGGGGAGGGGAATGATGAAGCTGTAGACAGTGAATGGACGATGTTCGGAACGTAATCAATTCTTCACAATATTGGTCGTAGGGACCAGCTTGAAAGATGTGAACGTCACGTCCGCACAAAGGGTACATTGTGAGATCGCACCTTGCATTGACCTCATTTCCACCTGTTGCGCATGAGCATGCTTTGCAGAAACACAAAATACCAGTACTTGTAGTTGGTTACATCAGGCATGTCAGGGGGCAAGTTCAAGGAGCGCTAGGTCACTGGTGGTCGATTTGTGACGAACATGTACCGGTGTCTAGCGCATGTGCTCGTACTCGCACTCAAAGGAAAAGACTTTCATGGTCATGTACTCACGCAGAAGTACTCATAATCATTATGTGAACTCAGGTACGAGTACGAGACTAGCGTGAATTTCCTAAAAGAGTGAGGAGGATACATGTATGGGGCAGTGGGGAATAGGATTATGCCCAGTGGATTTGGGTCTGACCGAGGATATGGCAGTCAAAGGTATCAAAAACTTCAGAGTTCTAGATTAGAGTCTTCTTAAATTTGAGTTTAGTGTGACAAGTAATAGGGTCTTTGTTGAAGTGTGTTTTCCTTGTATCACGGTCGTACATCAGACCTCCCATTCATGATCAAATGCCCTAGCTCAGTGTTCGAAATCTAGCAAGTTGTTCCTGCATTCGTCCCCTATACACTCTTGGTTTTGTCCCATGTAAGGCAAACCGCCAGGAATTAAGTTGAAGTGATCAGTGCTCGCTCAGAAAAGTTCCCTCAGTCCACGCGTATTTATTTCTCTGCCATCTTGCAGGTTTCTTCATCGATGACGACTTGCTCTACGAGGACCTCCTGGATACCAACGAGGATGAGGAAGACCAGCTAGTCATGGAGGACTCAGACTCCAGCTGGGGCTCGGAGGAGTGGGAGGGGTACTCGGACGAGAGCGACAGCGAGATGGTGCATAGCTACGTCATCGAGCCCAACTCCCCCCAGCCCAAGCGGGCCTCACTTGACAACAAGACCATCCCCCGGCAACGGTCCCTGGTGACGTCCTACGGAATGGATCGCAAAGACGAGGAGAAACCGCAGGTACAGTCACAGCAACATCTGCTGATTTACAAAAAAGGACATAGTTGTTACTACCGGTAATTCGGGTCATTGTTAGAAGTGTGAGGTCAAAAAGTGTGACCTTTTGTTGTCCCTGTTACAACTGACCTCTATAATTTAACGTGAGAATATCATTGAAATTGTGGCTGAGGTAATTTGCGTTACATAGTTACTCTTGCAAGTCAATAAGGTGTTTTAAACTTTTAAAACTATATGTCAGATGTGACAGGGGCATAAAAAAAAATCTGGACCCAAAATTTAGTTTTAAAAAAAATCCCATTAACATGCACATATACATCATACATTGTCATATTCATGTTAAAGCACATGATGTGTGCAAGACCATTAATATGCCCAGCATTTACCTGTATGTGCCGAGGTAACGGCAGAGGCCGTTGTTGTCATCAAAGATGTTCTTTTGAAGCTTTGGACTGAAGTGAAAATGCTGAACATGGCCTTGACCATGTCCAACTTGACTGGTTGCAGCCGAGAATGTCACTCATGTCTATGGGAAGTGGGTGGAGCCGTTAGTGTAATATCTAGCCACAGCCGTAACACTTGCACAAAGCCGTAGACATTGTTGGCATGCAAGAGAAGCTTATGAACTGACGTTGGGCCGGGCCAGGTGGGCTGGCTGTTTGAAAATGAAAAGCCAGTCAAATCTCTATTCCGCGGCATGTACGTTTCTGTGTTAAAGGGGTTAGTTTGCAAGGTTTGAGAAAGGTGCTTAAATAAGACAGAGAATATTGACAGCCGTTTCAACTGATTTTATGCGTCAGTGTTTCTGTTGTTTGTGTTTTGTTACTTGAAGCAATAAAAAGAGATGCAGGTACACATGCTTTGGTATCAGACATCCCGGTGGAATAGAAAACCTACTCTAGACATTACATGTACTCTTGATCTTCAGCAGGAAGTCGTAAGCTCTGTTGTGTCTGTTTGTTCATGTATCTTTACTGTTTGTGTGATTGACGGTAGGAGGAGACAGGTACCGACATGTACATGGACATGGGCAGTCATCACCAAACACAAAAAACACCAAAGGTATTACTGTACAGAAAAATGCAGTTTCATAGCGTAACTAGAGCATTGCTGGACGCGGTTTCATAGCTTAACCACTTGTTGCCGGGCGAAATTTGCAGATCTGGGACGAGTTCCCGGGCGATTTTCAAGATTTTCCATTTTCAAAGTTTTCAAAAACTTCATTTACTGGACGTTTACACCCACACGAATGACTGTCTAGTGGTCACTCTAATCTGACGGGCAACCTCCATTGAAGCCTGAGTATTGCAGCCAGGCCTGCCTCCCATTGAAGAGAGCCCACATTGTGCGGTGTTGTGTAGTTTCCTTTGTTCCCAAATTTGCCCAGTGCATTGCTGAATGGCAGTGCTGTCTTTTCAAATGCGGCCAGATTAGCATGCAGTGGTACTGTATCGCTCATCGCTGGAGTGCTGGAGCACTTTTGTCCCTGCTGAAAATCTGCGGGCACTGAATGCCACAAACAGTGGTGCACTGTTTCAAAACAAGGACCGATTACCTCCGCTAATGCCAACTGAAAAATGATGGCAATTCCCAGCAGCTCGGTCTTTTGTTCTGAGTATGGTCTTTTGTTATAAGGCCCAGCTTATTTTGATTTCGGGCTCCCCCGGCTATGCGTACATGTACAAACCCAAGCTACGGGTACCCTGTACCGGGAACCCTGAAGGCAAGTGGTTAACAAGAGCATTGTTGTTTTTTGATGAAATTTCTGGTGCTGGTTTTCAGTCAGCGCGTTGTTTGTGCTTTTGAAATATTTTGTCAAAGTGGCTTTGGAAGGTGAACAGTGTGGAGCTTAAAAGTAGCATAGTAATTGTGGCTTAGTCAAAATCTGATAGATTGCTTTTTAACAGTATAGAGTTACGTTGAAATGCAAACTGTCCTTTCATTCTGTGGGCGTACAGCTTAATACGGGCAATTCACAATAGTACGCCTCCAAGAGTTTGCAATGCTTTGGCCAATCACAACGCGCAAAATCTGTCGACCATTTCCAAACGCGCATTGGGTCGACAGATTTTGCGCATTGTGATTGGCCAACACGCTCCAAACTCTTGAAGGCGCACTATTGTGAAACGCCCGTATTGTCCACTGATTTAGAGCTTTTGAAAATCTGGGAGTCTGCCAAATTTCCATTGTTAATTTCATTTGGAGAGCCGCTCAGTGTTTGCTGCTGGTTTGAGTTGTAGGAATCATCTATACTCCGGAAATGTGCAGATTATAAATGATAAGAAAGGCCAGTTGATAATTATGCGGTTACTTGCTGTATGGGATGTGTTGGAGTCGTGTGTTTTTCAAGGGGAAATAAAGTGTAAATTGAAATGGTCATTTCGTTTGACGTGAATGTGTAAATTTTAAGTCACCATGAAAATATCAAGCTGTGTGAGGTCTACATGTACATGTATTTTGGGCGTTTGTATTCCATATGCCTGTATCCATGCAGTATCTCAAGTGAAGCAAGTGAACTTGTTTTGACAGGACTTTATAAATTTGCCGCCAGCTTTTCACCGTTGGAGAGGCACGTGAGACACAAACATGTGCACTGCACCTTCTATTTATAAACGATGCACCCATCTATGTGTGCACTCCGGCGGTGTGCAAATCAAATGAAGCGTTCATTCGTGTGGCGATAGTCAGTAGAGAGAAGCGTTCCTTGCGGTATATCAATTTATCAAAATGAAAAGGAAGATTTCCGTACATGTACGTGTATGTCTACTGCTGGCAATGGAGGATGACCGTGTGAAAGAACATTTGAAGCAAGTCTGGTCCGAGCCAATTTGGCTCATCAGGCTGGTGTTTATCTCCGGTTTCCTTGGCATGAAATGACTGAGAATATTTCTGTTCCCCCTTGAATGGGACGCCAGTCCATCACAGGTTGCTTCCCCAGCTAATGCTGGTACCCATTTATACTCCTGGGAGGAGAGAGGCAAGAAGGGGTGAAGAGGCTTGCCAAGGGCCACAACATACTGCCAGCAGCTGGATTCGAACCTCCAATCCTATGATTGGAAGCCACAAACCCTAACCACTTGGCCACATGCCCCCTTACAAAAGAACATTTGAACTACATGTAAATGCAAAATTGCATTGGAAATTTGTGTTGGCTGAACATTTGTGGTGATGCGGGTATCAACATTGACAAATGTTTGTGGTTCTTAAGAATGCAGATTTCATGAGAAACTGCTAACACCTTAATGTCCTCGGTCAGTCATCACACTGGAATATCAACGGCCAAACCGTCTTAACCTTTGAACGACTGTGTACATGTACAGATACTGGTAGAGCCTGGTATTTTTCCTACAAAAATGTCCCGCGGTCATGCCAAAAGACATTGCAACACCAGTGAGCGACCTTACGCTCGTGGAAGTACCAAGTTAATGCTCTGATAAGTAGATGAGTGGTCTCCAAGTCACTTTGGGGTAAATTGCATCCTCTAATGCCCTGTGCTTGGAGGGTATAAATACGTACATGTACCTGGCTCATACCTGTGGTTGAAAATTCATGTATACACCCAGTCAGGTAGTTATGCATGCGCTGTGCTTGGAGGGTATATATACGTACATGTACCTGGCTCATACCTGTGGTTGAAAATTCATGTATACCCCCAGTCAGGTAGTTATGCATGCGCTGTGCGTCGGGAGGAAGAATTGAGGTGTTGTTCATGTGGAACGAAACGCAGTAGAAGGGACCAGGAAAGTAACCATCAGGCTTGTGGTGTCCCCCCCTCCCCCGGGGTTTCTACATTTCTGCCATGTCATGAGCACGCCACAACCCGTTATTCATGCGTGTTATTGCGGAGGCCATAACTGAATTTGAACCAGAGCGTGATGTGTACTCTAAACTAAAAATCAGTACCTACATGTATTTTAAAATGTCAAACGGACAGGTACCGGGTACAATTTGTTCCATCCACTTTTGACTTCAAATGGGAATAACAACCTCTATAAGAACACAAAGTGCTCATGCCTGTTCACAAGTACAAAAAGTTTCTGGGTGCTGGATCACTTGCAGAAATTTATGACCATTGGGTATTAAGTAGCTAAGCTGATTGGGTAAGCTAATTTGACTGGCCTCATTTACTGGGTTTTGTGTCATGTGTACAACGTACATGTTGTCTGTACATGAATGTTTTAACCTGTGTGCTTAGTACAGTAGTGGTCCATGTATACACATGGTAGTGTGTCAACCCAGTAGGATGGCATTGTGACCAGAAAATAGAATGGAACAGGTCAACATTTACAAGTCAATTAAGGGGCCAATTTCACGGAGCTGCTTAAGTGCAAAATACCTTGCTTAAAAAACAAAGGTTACCAGCTTAAAATCTATGTGATTGTCGTGTTAACCAAACGACAGGTGAATACCATTCCAAAACAATATACATCACATGGAGTCTCAGCTGGTAACCTGATTTGTCGGGCAAGGTTGTTTTTTTCTTGCTTACATGTAACCAAATTTTGTGCTTGAGCGGCTCTATGAAATTGGCCCCCAGGTTACGATGTGTCTCCAAGAGTTTAACTCCCGCAAGCTTTTGTGTTGTAAACTCACATGTAACTAGATATTCCTCCCTCGCATTTCTCCTGTCTCTAACACAACTCACCATCCATCTGTCGACCCATCTGTCACTGTGTTTCTCACCCCATCCGGCAACCTGCACCTCTGCATTGTAGTCGTATCTAGATTGGGTGAGTCGTAGTGTGGAAAAAAATGCCCCAACATAGTGAAAACAGTAGTTCTTTGTAGAGAATCGTGCCTGATTGATTTAGGGCATTTCAAATGTAGTGTGCCACCAAGGGTTTGCCACAGGGACACCATAATAATTGAGAGTTCTTATGATGAAATGAAGAAATTTTCACATCAAGTTCTCAATGTACTGGTTAAGGCCATTACTACAGTCTCCCCTCCCCCAAGGCCCGTAAACATTCCTACTGTAAAAAGCCATCTGGGCTCCCAGGGGAGGAAACAGCTCCGCCCTCACAGGTACCCATTTATACTCCTGGACCTCACAGTTGATGTCTTGCATAATGTACATGTACATGTATGTCATCTTTGAGTTCATCATCTGTCCATCATTCCTAACATACATACATGTACATGTAAATTGCCTGACTCCCTATATGTAGACAGGTTCATGTAAAGGCATACTGAAGGCTTACAAATGAATCGCCCTTGCTCATGCAAAGAGACTTCTAACTTCAATCCCTGGCACCCAAAAAAAAAAACAAGTTTCTAGTTTTACATAATCCGTCAGTGTTGGGCTTCAGCACAGACAGCCACAAGGCCATGACCAGTTTTGCACCACGTGTTCTTTCATCGGGCCAGTCGCAAGTGACTGGGTGAAAAATTACACACATGTCTGTGGGAAGTACGGGCAGTGGCTAGCCTGCACCATTCACAGGCTTCTGTGTTTTTGCTCGGCAAGTCACTTGGACCCAGCCTAAGGTTACTGGTACATGTAGATGTACATGTACGTCTGAATCCGTTGTCCAGAGCTAGATCCAGGTCTACGCGTTGTTGGAAATAGGCGAGGACGCAATGACACTGGACCAAGCCATAGCTCTAGAAGCCTGTTTTGGACACGGCCTACATCTCTCCCAGCACCCTTCCCATAGTGTTTTGCAAACAAAATGGCCTCCCTTTTGGTAGTCGCTTAGTGGCACAGTACATTGCCGTGGTTCATGTAGGAACGGTGCGGTACTTGAGGTTGTTCATATCTTGAATAAGCATTGCTAGCTATAGACTGTCTCAGGAGCCATGCTTAATGCTGCAATTTGCCTTCGCTGTCACAACTTTAAAATTCACGCAAACCCCACCAAAGCGATCCATAGTCACATCATGTTTGGTTTCATTTTGCCACTAGGGTGTGTACCATAGATACGAGAAAGGCAACCATTTGTGACATTCTCAAAATCATTTATTTCATGGTTAATTTTCAAATGTTTGAGTTAATGGTTTGAATGAATAGTCAGCCAAGAAATAGCGCAGAGTTTTGACTGTTTGCTGTTCCTTCCTAAAGTTTGATATGATCTCACTAGATGCATTTAGATTCCCTTCATATTTTTGTGACTTCAGAACTAATTAAAATCTTAGTTAGATTTACAATAATCACCTGTATACATTGCTTTGCTTCAAAGCTGCCGTTTCCAAAACTTTAAAGTTTTCATGCTGTTGGTTTTGTGCAGGTGAAAGAGTTCAAAGGTCGCAGTAACCTGGACAAGGTGAGGAACTTCTTGTTTGGACGCCATGCGGGGCCCAAGGAGGAGGAGAAAGAAGATATGGATGAAGGTACTCCACCCCAGCCCTGACCCAGACCGACCTGACCCGAATCAACCCGATCCCAGCTTGTTCTGGCCTGGCCGAACCCAACCTCACCCAACCTCACCTAACTCCCCAACCCATCTCAGCCTAGACTGGTCCTAAGCCTAGACTGGCTCTAAGCCCACTACAAACCCACTTAGCCCAAATGTACCCATTCTAGCCCATCACAACCCCACCCAACAGAGTAACAGCAACCCATTGGTATTCCTGAAGCTTGGTTGTTCATGTACAGTACCTTACCTCACACTCTGACTTTACCGACATTTGAAATCCTTAATAAGGTAAATTGCAACTCTCGCTTGAATTGAAAACAGGAATCTAAGTTAACCTATAATTGTCGTGACTTTATTGCTTTTTGATGAAGGGGTTATCGTCGGAAGTCTGAAAATCGTTCTTTAATTGTGATGCTGAGGACTGGGAAACTTGTCACTAAGACTGACTTGGAAGTGGATTTTGGTTTTTGTATTTGTGTCTTTCTTTTCTGCAGATAAGGACGACATCCACTACATCGACGTCAAACTGTCGCAGATTAAGCACCCTCCACCGGCCCTGCCTCCCCAGCCCCAGGGCCTGACTACGGAACAGGTTGTCCGTCGTCACGTGGTGCAGTCCATAATCGACAGCGAGAAATCCTACATGGTTTCCCTGCAGCGACTCATTCAGGTACATTTAGCTTCCGCACCCTCGATTAAGTAGAGAGCCGGCGTAATGGACATTTTACCCTCAAAGTGCAGATCTCGTTCGTGAATGGAAGCAGGGGTTTAGAGACCAGTTTACAGGAAATGAAGGTGTAAAGGTATTTAACCAATGCGGCATTTGTTTTCCAAGAATTGTGGCCAGCTAAGGCGCTTTTTTTGTTTTTTCAACCAGCCTCAACTGTTCTAGGGATCTGTTAGTGGGCATGCATTCAATTTCTGATGCAAGTCATGTTTGAATCACCAAGATTGCAACTCGATGGAAAATCAAGTAGATACTTGAGTACTCTCTGGCCGTACGGTGTAATTGTTTACACTTAAGGCCGTCATGAACTGCCCCACTTATTGTCCAATCCTGTCCAATTGGAACAGCGCCCCCAGGTGTCCAATTATGTAAAGCTCCCCCCCCTCCCTCCCTTCTCAGTCTCAGGGCAGGTGACAATCTCTGTTGAGGTCCATGTACAATGTTTGTGGCCACCACGTCCCCTCTTACCGCTCAGATTGGTCACGTGATGCCAGTGGCTCCCGAAAATGACCATACCTCTCTTTCCCTTTTTTTTCACTTTCCTAGGCCTACGAGAAACCCCTCCTGGACAGCATCCCGCCCCTCTTGGAGAAGGAGAAGGTCCGTATGATCTTCTATCGTGTTCGGGGGATCTACCAGTGTCATCTCATGTTCCAGATTGCTCTGTCCAGCCGCGTCAAGAACTGGGACTCATCAGACACCATTGGAGATGTTTTTGTTGCCTCGGTTAGTCAGGACCTATATTGCAGAAACTCAGCCGGAAAATCATTCTTAGCAGATAAATTTGCCAAGCAGAAACTAGCAGAGTGGTGCCCATATGCAGTGTACATACCGTGTCTGTTTGACTGGTAACCCGTTTGTGCTAATCAAATTCTCTTCCGTGCTTTGAAAAACATTTGATGTTACCAGCCCCATGAAATTAGTTCCAGGTTTAGTTTAGTGGCTCTGCTTACATGTACAATGGAAAATCTGGACAAACCGCAGCAGAGAATTCTGCATTCAGACTTTGCTTATTTTGTTGTTTAGCCTGAAAATTAGCAGTAAGATAAAAATTTGTCTTAAACTTGAGAGACGAAAAAAAGCCTGTTTTTGGGCTTTGAATCTGCTGTCATGTGAGGTTGATATGATCATTTTTCAACTGCCAGGGGATATCACAGTGCTTCACAGATGTGTGACATTCATTGGTTGTGAACAAGCGTGAAGTGAAAGC